TGGAATGGTTTGGTGAGGGCAGACGATTGCTTTTTCCGCGGATTCCGCCATTCCAGCTGCTGCTTTGACATTTTGGACTGCTGCATATAGAGCTGTTAACGTTGAAATTATAAGGGAACAAAGGTCGGGTCGGGTCGAGATGGTGGGGTTGTATGGTGGGCTGGGAATGTTTTTGTTGAATTGGAAATTGGAAAGATGGGCTGACGGGTCTGGCAATTCAAAATGAAAGGCCCAAAAAATTGATTTTACAAATGAGTTTGAAGGGAGGCAAAAGGGAATTAAAATTAAATAAATGGTTAGACTCGATTTGAGAATTGGCCTAATTGATTGCAATTATAGCTATTGAATTAAGGATTTAGCCAAATTGAGTTTACTTGGTGATTTGGCTAAAAGCTAATTAAGACGAATTAATATAAGTTGATTAATGAGCTTCTTAATCTTAACAAAATAAAATAATTAACTTAATTATAAACTAATTAGCTCAAAATTATAACTATAACTTTAAAGTAAATTAATAAAATATTTAATTAACATGTAAAATCTTTTGTGATGATTTTCAAATATTTATAAAATAAAATGATTGCAAAAAAAAATACATATTTATTATTAAAAAATGATAAAATTATTTTGAACATAGCTTGAAAGTATTTTGAATTTCATAAAACTCATTAATTCAAAATTATAACCATCCCTAATATTAAAAATGTAAAATCTTTTTTTGAGACGATTTTCGAATAATCATAAAATATACTAATCATATACATAATTATGTAAAACATATACATCATCTAAAATTTATGAAAAGTGACAAACTATTTAAAAGTCTTGCAAACTATATTATTATTATTACTTTTATAAAAACAATTATTTTAAAACTATGGCCATAACTAAAATAACGTAACTTAAATAAAAGGTGCTTTTCAAATCAACAAAATTAAATAAGACAAAATAATATAAAATAAGAATAATTAAACTAATAAAATAAATAACTTATACTTTAAACCAAATTAATTTAATTGAATATAAAACAAACTCTTTTTGAGACGATTTTTGAATATTCATAAAATATAATAATTATATACATAATTATGTAAAACATATATATTATCTAAAAATTATAAAATAAGACGGAACTAGTTAAAATAATTTGCAAACTATATTATTATTATTTCAAAAAATTTATAAAATTAATTATTTTAAATCGTTTGAAATTGGAGAAGCTCGAAATGATTAATTTATATTGTGGAGGGTCAAAATTGGGTGTCAACAAGGTTGATCTTTTTTAAATGAGAATAAATCAAGAAGAGGCTATTTTGTGTGATTAAAGCACTAATTAGGTGATTGGGCAGATTTCGAATCAGTCATGAAACCTTGAGGATTGGGTATTCTAAATTTAGTATGAATTAGCCTAAACGAAGGAAGTAATACGAGATTATTATGATGTGATTATAGATTGATCGAGGAAGACTTACGGATTGCTTGAGGTGACAAGTTTGGTATTTCAACACGAGTGCTGTGAGTAGTAATCTTACCACAATAATTAAAATAAAATATTTGCTCAACTTGTAGGACAAACCTTATCCTGGAAAATCTTGATAGAAAGCATTTAAGTTATGTATATCGATAACCTAATGATTTTTTAAATTACCAAGGTAATTAAATGGGATAAGGGTTTGAAAAATACCTCAACTTTGGTTGGATTTGCTGTTGCGATACTAAACTTTTATAAGGACCTATTACCTCTCAAGACTATTTAATACCGTATTTTTTACCCCCTGAACTATTTAATAGTGTATTTTAAATGTATATATATGTCCACGTGGACACATTACTCTTTATAATTTTGCATTATTTTTTATGTCTACGTGGGCAAATATATATGATGTAAAATACGGTATTAAATAGTCTATGGAGGTAATAGGTCCTCATGAAAGTTTAGTATCGCAACAACAAATCCGACTGAAATTGGAGTATTTTTCAGACCCTTATCCCTAATTAAATGTATCATGTTCTATTACTTTTCAGTATTTTCTAAATTACCTGCAGAGATTTTTTATGTGACTTATATGTGAAACTTAAATCATGACTTTTCTCGTAAAAATAAGGAAAACAAATTTTATAAATGACATAAAATCTTGATTGTCTCCTCTTCACCGTTGCATTCCCTTGCCAACTCACATCGACCCCGGCTCCCAAAAAGCCCACTTCCACGCCCCTCCCATACGCTCACGGCGAGACCATTTCACCTCCATCCTTGTGTTATCGAACCATATATAAATATTGTTGAAATAATATTTTTCAAATTAAAAATTTACAAAATGTTTTGTTACCTACTAAACACACTATTAATGTAAAGTTGAATAAAAGAAAAATAGGACAAAGTGAATAAATAATAGATAGAGTTTGGAAGAGTATATAACAGCTACTAATTAAATGCCATGTTGTAGTTGCTATTTATTGTTCGATAAATTAAAGGTGAATGACTTATTAGTTGACTTATTAATAATTTCAAGTAGGGGTGTTCACGAGTTGGTTTGGATCGGTTATTGGTCAAAATCAAAAATCAAAGCAACTTAATCGGTTTTAAAATTATCAAAACCAAACCAAACCAAACCAAATATAATATACATTTACCGGTTTGGTGGTTATCGGTTTCGGTTTGGTTTGGTTTGATTATTTGGTTATTAATCATACACAAAAATAAAAGAAACAATTCATTCAAAATGTGAAAAAAGTGACAACAATCCATTCAAAACAAAAAAATAGTTACAATGACTTAAATTACCAAACTTTCGATCACTGAATTTACTATCAATAAAACTTTAAAATTCACTATATTGGCCTAGAAGGAAGAAATAATAACATTTTCAGTCCCACAAATAATTGTCACAGACACTCATATTACATGAAATCAATAAGATAAATGTTTTCACCTTGGGTATTCTTGCTTTCAATAAGTAAAGTATAAAGAAATTTTAATGAAAACATATATAAGATTTTTAAAATTGTTTATAAAAACAATATATTATGTATATTAACAAAATATATGTATATAATTCATTGATTCGATTCGATTATTTCTTTAGTTTTTTTTTGAATAAAATCATAACCAAACCAAATACTACTGATTTTTAAAAATCTAAAACCAAACCAAACCAAACCCAAATAAAATCGGTTTTATTTTATCGATTTGATTTGATTTTTCGATTTGGATCGATATTTATCCAAACCGTGAGCACCCCTAATTCCAAGTGGCAAAATGTCAATCACTCACTAATCAATTAAGTTGACTAGGTTTTCTCTGAACCCCCCCCCCCCCCCCCCCCGCGCACCCCACCGCCAACCACCCTCCATTACTGCTCAAACTACCAAATTAATCACTTGAAAGTTTAAAATTTAAAAACTATATCATAATTTTTTTAACGTAAAATTTTAACGAGGTATATTATTTATGGATATTTAAAACAAGTATCATAAAATATTATAGCTAATACAGTAATTAGTAGCTTCTATATCTTCACAACCCTCCATTAATCTTTATTCATAATTTCAAATTGATTAAATGTCATAATCATGATAATCTCTTATATATTATGTATTTTTTTTATAAATAAAGTTCGTGGCAATCTTTTATATTACGTAGGTGTATGCGGTTTCTAGTCTACAAATTAAAGGATAAGTGACAATAACTAACAATAATGCAGCATAAGATGTCAACATGTCACTTGTCAACATTATTCAGTCTTGCTTTCACACTGTGTATCGAAAAATACGAAAAATTGAGGAAAATTACTTCTTGAGTGTAAGACTGAAAGTAAAGAAAATAAGTTCTACATGTGATATTTTGGGCCCGTTTGGTCATAGATTTCTCAAATAATATTTGGGAAAAAATTTGGCAAATAGTATTTGTCCATATAATTTGTCATTATTTGGCAAATATCCCAAATTCCCAAATACTAGTTTTTTCTAGTATTTGGGCCAAATCTCATTATTTGAGATCTTTTGAAAATTAAAATTTTACCCCAAACTTTTATCTTTTACAAAAACACCCTCTATAGTAGTTGTTTGTGTCGTATTACATAGTTTTTCACGTGAACACCAAAGTAGTGATGAAATATTCAATGAATATTAAATGATGATATGGTTGTTGATGAAAATGATGAACAATCGGCTCAGGGTAACAAAGTCATGTGCTTTGTCTACTTCACGATGTATGGAATGATGCTTGTTGCACTTACTCCAAACTACCACATTGCTCTAGTGTCATGAACACTATTTGTTATTGTTGCAACGAAGATTCAATTGATTTGTAATACAAACTTATGGTTAGTTTTGATAATTTTTAAAACTTATGAGTATAAATTATATTTTTCTAAAAAAGTGAAATATATTTCCCAAATACTATGGCCAAACACATGGTGAAATTTCACCCAAATAATATTAATGATGTAACCATCCTTATCTAAGAGTGTTAATTGATTCTCCTTCGTCGAAAAAAGCTACTACATTGTATCATATATTGAATCATTAAAATTTACTCATGTGTTCATTTTTGTTTATATGTTGAGATGTTTTTATAAAATTTCGATTTCAGCCTTGACTAGAGTTTTCATTAGAAATCAAAAAATAAGTGATGATTTGACATTAGTAAGTCTTTTGTCCCCCCATGCTTTAATTTTATTTCTTCTGTGATTATATTTTTTTTAAAATATTATACAAAGAAAAGAACAAATTGTTTCTTTTTTCTGCATTGTTTTCCTTACTTTATAATTAAATAACAAGAAAATTAAATATTTTAAATTTTCCCCTCGATGTTCAATATCCTTAATTAGAGATGCCTTAAATAAATTTGATTCACGGTAAAAAATTCAGATCGAGTAAAAGCTATGTAACAAAGACGATTTTATATTCGGACCAGGATTCAATCCTGAAACATATGATTAAAGGATGATAGAATACTTAAGTAAAAATAAGAAGAAAATCTTAACACTAGGGAAACATTTTTAACACAATATGATATATTGTACAACAAAACATTACATCATGACCGACCATTCATAGTAAATGAATGGCTTTATTCATACTTGTTACAAGCAAAGGGTCTTAAGTAGCAAGATTATTATTATCTTGTCACTTAATTTCAAAAGTTTACAATAATAATACACACAATTAATTATTTAGTTGTGAGTCTGGTCAGCCACATATTCTTCATAAGAGCAGCAGTATTTTTTGTGGCATCTATAACATTTCTTAGGTTTTCCATAGTGCTTACCATAGCCGCCACCATGATAATGTCCATCAACGTTTACCGCTGCATCGATGAATTGTGAAGATTAATTAAACTAGCTAACACGTACGATGAGTCATGACTAGTCTCTGAATTGAGCTTCAATTGATATGTCGTACTTTCCTTTTTATTATATCTCAAAATGAGTACTCCTTTTCCTAAAATATATATTTAATTGTAATTTTTTTAATTTCAATGTAACATAAGATCACAAAATTCATAGGACATTTATAATATAATTTACACACCTTTAGTTTAGTTTAGCAAAGATTGGAAAGTTTATGGTATATTCTTAAACTTTATGCATAGTAAATGAGACATATAAAATGAAACAAAAGGAATGTATATTAAGTGTCATGATCAAACTATATCATTATTAATTGAAATTTTGGGATTTCGTTTCCAATTATTTTACAAAAAAGTAAATAAAAAAGTCACTTATTTTCTTACAAAATATTTTTCATGAAAAACATTTTTTTTATCGAACACACCCTAAGAGAGGGAACAAATGAAAAGAAATGCTTACCATTGGAAGTCTCAGCTGCCAACTCCCTAGCAGCAACCTCAGAGCTTATCATTAAGAAAATAGCCAAAAAAAGACCAAGAAACATAATTGCCTTGGAACCCATTCTTCTTAATTCTTTTTTTTTTTTGTTCAAAACTTAGTACTTATGAAATATGAAAATTGAGGGATGAAGAAACTAATGCATTTTTGGGCTCTATTTATAATAAGATTTTGAATGCATAAATTGAAGGTGTGAGGGGACACGTACGGATTGCAATTATTGTATGGACCAAAGAAATGAACAACTTGCTCTACAAGTGGTAGATAGATAGAGTGTTGATTTTAATAGCGAGGAAGTGTCGTGATGGAGTCGTAAGTATTTTCTTTATTTCATATTATTTGATCTTTGTTAATATGATAAATTTTAAGAAATTTTAATTAGGGATGTATTTTAATAAACTATTTTTATTAGTGATGCTTTTAATTAACTTTATGTAGTTATTTAATACTACTAAGGATAGTTTGAAAAGAAAAGTAATAAAGGTTTTTTCATCTACTAAAATGGACAGGTAAAATAAAACATCTCTTTTTTTTTAATCAAGGCCAAATACAATGTAACAAAGGGAGTAGTTCTTTCTTTTTATATAAAATTAATGAATTTATATGCGCTTCGCACAGTCGTATTACTAAATTTATGATTTAATTTTTGCTAATATTCATATTTGAAAGTAATCAAAAAGTATATTTTGTGAAATTTAAGTTATTTTAAATTTTTTTCTTTCATAAGATGAAACAAACATAAAATTTATAAATTTTATCTGTTTGTGTTTTACAAATCTTAAATATTCAAAATAATTAAATTAAGAGTTAAAACATATCAAAACACCACTAAGTTTTTTAGTAAAAGTAGGTAAAACACAAGTACATACATCAACACTATAACAAAAATGTTAAAATAAAAATCTCATCATGCATGTTCTTTTACTTATGAAAGTCAATCTTTTACCTAAACTAACTATAATAGAAAAAAAAGAGTATAAAATACAACATAAGCTATTGTTGTTCTTGTCATCAAAATATTTCTATAAATACTAGAATAAACAGTTTATATACTAAGCATTGCCTAAAAATCTCCATTTATAAGGTATAATTGTCGAATAATGTAGGAGTTTATAGTAGACAAAAAAAAAATTGGAAGAATAGGGCGGTTGGAAACAAAACTAAAAAAGATTTAAAAGGAAAAGTAACCATCTCTCCGTTACAAATTAGTTATTATGTTTCGTTTATAAAAAAGTCAATTTAATTAATTCTCAAAACTGAATTGTATAGACTAACATCATAAAAATTATACAAAAAAAATCTAGAAGTCACAAGTTTCTCTCATGTCAATATAATTTTAATCAAAACTAATTATCATATTTAATTTTCTAAAGGAAAACATGAAAACTAATTGAAAAAATGAAATATCTTGAAAACTAACTACACCCATAATTGAGTAATTATTTAGGCACTTTTAAATTTCCTAATATTAAGATAAACAGAAGAAAATAATTAAAAAATATTTTAAAATGATTTATAGTTACAAAAAAACTCAAGTTATTTTAAATTATAAATTTTAAAATAAATAAATTTATTTCTCAATTGATAATAAATTTATAGTCTTTGTTTAATCAGACAAACCTAAACCACGTGCAAGAAGTTGATGGCCCATCATTTAACGTATGTAGAAAATGTCAAACGGTCACTTATCAGTTGTTCAGCCGCCACGCCACGTAATTAATTATAGGTTCGTTTTAATTTATTTGACTTATTTTTTTTAATTCATTTTAAAAATGATTTTTTTTTGATAATTTTTTAATTTCCAACTTTCTACGTAGCATGATAATGAAGAGCGTATAATATTTAAAATCATTAAGAAATCTAAACACAAAGGGTAATTAGGATAGATGACAAGAACTTATGGATAAAATAATAATAGCATAATATATTCAATATGTGAATTATCATATTACGAAGATCCTAGTAGCTCAATCATTTAACTATTTGAATTTTTATTTTGTTAATTTGAATTCGATTTCCATAACCTCTCTCTTATTTCTCCCTTTCCATCCTCCTCTTTTTTTTTTTAAGTTGTAGGACTACCTTATCCTCAAATATCTAGAAATAGTGGTGCAAATATACGTTCTCTTCGATTTGGTCAATACTCAAAGACTTAAATGACGTATTCAATGACTCTTTTAGTGTACTATCAAGTTAAATAAGAGGGTCTACCAACGAAGGTGATGTATCGAGTGAAGTTGTTTTTTTTTTTAATCAGATGTTTTGAATTTAAATTTTGAATATGAAAAATTTATTGATAAAAAGCGCTCCCTCCTTGAATAAAGATTTTATGCAATATAAATTTAAAATAATCAGACTTTAATATAAATATCGAATACCGAATAAAAAAAATTAAATAAGAGGAGGGCTAACTCTCTTCATTTGCTTTATAACTCAAGCAACGTCGTTTTATTTAATTAAAAAAAAGTTGTGAGAAAAGTCTTCTAGGAAATTAAATGACCGACAACACAACAACCAAAATTCTTAGTTTTTTGCTTTTATATAATCTATTTTCTCCGTTTCATTTTATATGACACTATTTGATTTGATATGATGTTTAATAAAAAAAAAAGATTTTTGAAATTTACAGTCTAAAATATTTTTGGATATTTATGTGGTGGAGATTCATTTCATTAAGGGTAAAAGAGGAATTTTAAAGTTAAATTGTTTCTGATTATAGTCGGGTGACATTTTTTTTGGAACGAACTAAAAAGAAAAGGGTGCCACATAAAATGGGACGGAGAAAGTAATAGAATTCAACTCATATGTAATATTACTCTCCATTGGTGATACTTTTTAATTTATTTCTCGAGAATTAAAACTTATAAACATAACATAATTTTCTATATATACAATATAATTTTTCGATAAAAAATGTTTAATTGATCACCTTTTTATCTACGTACGTACACGACTGTGTAATCTCCATACTAGTCAATAATCAAATTGTGGTTCTTAGAAGTTAGAAGCTGTTGCAGGACATCTTCGATTTCCTCTCTAAATGATTTTTTTCTTTGTGAAGTGTCAATTATGTGGAGAAAAAAAATGAATTCTTTACTAGCCTAATATTAAAAAGCTAATAACAACATTATCTGCTTTATTTAAGAAAAATACACACAAATTGATCTACATACGATATAAAAAGTTTGAATTTATTTAACCGTAGGTATTAATGAATGAACGTTATGCATAAATTTAGTCACATGTTTTGTATTGTACATATGTAGTATGTCTATTTTATACTAATCGATAAATATTCATCAATAAAATCCATTAAACATATATTTCACGAACTACCTTTATAAACACAATAAGTATATATTAAGTTACGAGGGCATTTGTTAATAAAGCCTATGCTAATTTGTTCAAATTCGATCTAGTCCATCCATTTATCATTTAAATTTTAGTCTAGTCCCTTCGATTCCTAAGGGCTTCAACTCCTTTTCATATCTTTCTTGTTTACATGAGAAGAGTGATTTTTACACAATTATCACGATCATATATCCTTACTCAATAACCATTTTAAATGACTAAAACGGTGAAAAAATTTGGAAAGGGTAAAAAATTACGCGTTTACATGTCCTACCAAATTAATTTTCCTTTAGCTCCCGATAATGATATACGTTCTATATACATTGATAGTTTTTCTTTTGCTCACTACCAATAACTTCACTTCACCTTCACATAATTTTTCTTGTTACTCTATCTATACTAATTTCTAGTAGTAAGATACTACTTTGCATGATTACTCTATCTTGATCATTTTGGTAATTTTATCTCGGGATTAGTAATCATTGTTATCCATCATAGAAGGTCATATAAAAATAATATCATAATTGTGATATACCGTCTAGCTAATCCTATCTCAAAATTAAAAAATCAAGTAATATTATATTTCGAAATCATTATTATCTCTTATCCCATAAATTAAACGACCTCTTATTGATTCAACTTTCAAAGTTCTTTATTTCCTTTGGATTTATGTGAAGAATTTTCTTCCAACATAATCTTGATTAGGATGACTTTTAACTGATTTCTGCTTGAAAATCAATTGTGAATTCAAGAATTTCTTCACCTACCAAACGAAAAATTACTTATCCACATCTTTAATTACTAATTTTTTAAAAATATACCACTTACGTGTCACCTAATATTTCCAAATATGCCCTTTCCTTCAATCTCTAATACATTCATTTCTTATTATAAATAGATCTCAATTATGCATCAATTTCTTCATCCTTTAATTAATATAATTAAGCTTTAAAGAATAAAAAAATGATGGGTTCCAAGGCATTTATATTTCTTTGCCTTTTTGTGGCTATTTGTGCAATGATAAGCTCCGAGGTTGTAGCTAGGGAGTTAGCGGAGACTTGTAAGATTATTTTTTCTAATTTTATTATTTATATATTTGATGAATTTCTTATCTAAATATTTTACCTATATGTAACGTTATGCTAATTTTTGAGCTTTACGATTGATGTAGCATTGGAATCAGATAACAAGATTGATGAACACACTGACGGACGCAGCGGATATAATGGATATAAACCCCCACATGACAAATACAATAATGGATATAAACCTCTTGGTGGTGGATATAAGCCTTCAGGTGGTGGATATAAGCCTCCAGGTGGTGGATATAAACCCCCACATGGTGAATATAAGCCTCCACATGGTGGATATAAACCTCCAGGTGGCGAATATAACTCTCCACATGACAAATATAAACCACCCAGTGACGGACATCACCCCCCAGGTGGTGGTGGTGGTGGTGGTGGCGGACATCACCCCCCACATGGTGGATATAACCCTCCAGGTGGAGGCCATGATTAAGTGACTAGCCAATTGCCTCACAACAAATCATCATGTGTACTATTATAAAACTATGGTATACGTACGTAATGGCAAGATTAGTACCAGTAATATAATAGTCTTGTTGCTTTTAGACCAGATTGTTGTATCAATAGTATGAATAAAACGCATGATATGAATTGTTGGTCATACAATATTTTGTTGTACAATATATTATGTGATGAATATATTTTCATAATGTACGTTTCTTCTTATTTCACATTTTATTATTGAAAATTACTCCCCCATCCCTAATATTATATGTTGCTTTTTGTTTCTCAAAATTTAAATTATTTTTAACCAACAAATTTATTAAAAATACAGTTTTTTCATCGTATTAATATACAAGAAAAAAACTGTAACTAACAATACTTTGGGACGAAGGGAGTACTTCTCAATCCCCACCCTCTCCAAATTCAAAATACAATCTACTCTAAAATGAAAAGGCAAGAAATTATAAGAGACCCCTTGATTTTCTAGATTGTGTTGGAATTGTTGGAAAAACGAAAATCGATCAATAAATGTCATTTGTTCAGATATTTATTTTATTGTTATAACGAAATATTAATATAAAGAACATATACTATAAATAACATGAAAGAAAATTTTCAAAAGTTGCCTACTTATTTACATTAAAAAATCTAATTAACATATAAATAATTAATTAAGATCTCATAGATACAAAATCCTAACTCCGCTATAGAGAATTAATTGGCAAGATGTAATAGTCTTTCAATTTTAGACCTTGCTTTTAACTATAATAACAAAGTATGAACAAAATTAAAGCCCATTATTAGTTCCTCAGTACCCCACGAAAATATCCAAATCATTATAGACAAATTTTGAACTTAAAATTTATGAGTTTCTACAATAACGTTAAGTTCATGCAAATCAATAATCAAATTTCTAGATCCCCATGTACCCATGTGAATCAATTTAAACCTAAAGAAAGGTCTCTAAATTTTATTTTCTTAGAAAAACATAAGACTTAAGAGTTAATTATCCATTTAGAGATAATTTCATAAACAACCTCTTATATTGACTACATAACACAAGTTTTCCTTGTGATTTGTTATAGTTTTTATTAGTACCAATTAATCATATGAAATGACTTGACGTTACATTGTTAAATTAATAGCACTTTTCTTATGATTTATCAATATCGACTCTGACTCTGAGGTAGACAATCGTCTATCACATAAATATAATACGGACTAATAATATGAAAATAATAGCATTTGATAATTTTCACAATTTGTGAGGTTTCATGTTTGTGAAAGAGCAAAATACAATTTAAAAAATTCAAATTGCATGTTCATATAAAAAACTTCGACTTCAAATCAATGTGATTTGAACTTATGATTCTATATAGTATATCCAAACGAGCCTTTAATGTCGTTTGATAATTACAGTAGATCTATGTTTTTAGTGACTTTGTCATTTTGATGTGTCCAATGAACTAATTTAAGTAAATGATTCACCATTAATGTGGATTTACTCAAATGAACTCAAAAAACAGATTTAAACTTTACGAGTACTTTAACGGTTAAGGTTTTTAGCATTGAACTACTTGTAATTTTAAAGTTATGAATTCAGATATATGATCATTTGTTACTATTTGATTAAATTTTTATCTATAAAATTTATGCTTCACATCAAAAGATTAAGTTCAGATAAATTTGATGTCCCAACTCTACTTTTACCTCTAACATGAATGATTCACTTTAGGGTTCAAGTGTTCTCTATCAAAATTTTATCTCAAATTTTGATTTTTAAAAATATATAATTAAAGATAGAAGGTACTTATCGATCACCTACCACAAAAATTGATAGCAATACTTCAAATATATGAAGTAGAAAACTAAAGCAATAAAGATTTTCTGAGTAATTAAAACCTATTTGGGAAAACTTTTAAATTTAGGTATTTTAATTTTTCTAACGTGTTTTTGAAAAGTTCTTTGAATGGTTATAACTTATAACTATTTGTGTTAAGTAAGATTAGAAACTCTTTTTTATTAGTAATGGAGAAGTAGTTTGTGTTTATTCAAATTTTCCCAAAAAAAAAGAGAGTTTAAGAAAAACAAATTACGTAAAAAATATGTACAAATTTGCATTATGATAAATATAATAATAATTTTTAGTTATTTATTCCTCTCAGAGATTTTAATTAAGTATTAAAATTATATTTAACAAAAACATTTCATCTTTTGTTTGAGATTCACTCCCATCACAAGATAAAATATGTGTTTATTAAAATATATTTTTTTTAATTATAATTAAACAATATATGCTTATTTTATATTTTAACTATAAATAAAAAATTGTTTTATTTAGTGGACACCACAAATGCAAATAAACATTGTGTTCCTATACTACGTTCCTTTCTTAAATGAATATAAAAAAAATCAAATAAATTAAAACAGAGGAAATATAATTAATTACGTCGCGTGCCAATTGAGCAAGATAAGTGATAAGTGATCATTTATCAATTTCTAATACATTGAATTCTTAGTATAAATATAACCCAATGTTGCTTCAATTTCTTCATCCTTTAATTCATATAACTAAGCTTTAAAGGAAGAAAAAAAATGATGGGTTCCAAGACAATTCTATTTCTTGGCATTCTTTTGGCTATTTTTGCAATGATAAGCTCAGACACCCGTAAGTTTATTATTATTTTTCTTTTATTTGTTATCTCTTTTGAAATATTAGATTTCTTATATAATTATTTGACATATATGCAATGTTATGCTAATTTTTAAATTTCACATTTGATATTTGTAGCAGTGAAATTGGATAACAAGAATGATGAACGCCATGATGGATATAATGGTATTGGCGGATATTTTGGTGATGGACATGGCGAATATAATAGTGGATATAAGCCTCGAGGTGGTGGAAATAAACCTCCACATAACGGATACAATCCTCCAAGTGGCGAATACAATCCCCCACATGATAAATATAAACCCCCTAGTGATGAATACAAACCTCCGGGTGGCAAATATAATCCTCCACATGACAAATATAAACCTCCTAGTTATGAATACAAACCTCCAGGTGACAAATATACCCCCCCACATGATAAATATAAATCCCCTAGTGATGAATACAAACCTCCAAGTGACAAATATAAATCCCCACATGACAAATACAAACCCCCTAGTGACGAATACAAACCTCTAGGTGACAAGTATAACCCCCCACATGACAAATATAAACCTCCTAGTGATGAATACAAACCTCCAGGTGACAAATATAAACCCCACATGATAAATATAAACCCCCTACCGACGAATACAAACCTCCAGGTGACAAATATAAACCCCCACATGACAAATACAAACCCCCTAGTGATGAATACAAACCTCCAGGTGACAAATATAACCCCCCACATGACAAATATAAACCTCCTAGTGATGAATACAAACCTCCTAGTGATGAATATAACCCCCCACATGATAAATATAAACCCCCTAGTGACGAATACAAACCTCCAGGTGACAAATATAAACCCCCACATGACAAATACAAACCCCCTAGTGACGAATACAAACCTCCAGGTGACAAGTATAACCCCCACATGACAAATATAAACCTCCTAGTGATGAATACAAACCTCCAGGTGACAAATATAACCCCCCACATGATAAATATAAATCCCCTAGTGACGAATACAAACCTCCAGGTGATAAATATAAACCCCCACATGACAAATACAAACCCCCTAGTGACGAATACAAACCTCCAGGTGACAAGTATAAACCCCCTGGTGACGAATACAAATCTCCAAGTGACAAATATAACTCCTCACATGACAAATACAAACCCCCTAGTGACAAATACAAACCTCCAGGTGGCAAATATAACCCTCCACATGACAAATATAAACCTCCTAGTGATGAATACAAATCTCCAGGTGACAAATATAACCTCCCACACGATAAATATAAATCCCCTAGTGATGAATATAAATCTCCAGGTGATAAACATAGTCCCCCACATGATAAATATAAGCCCCCTAATGACGAATACAAACCTCCAAGTGGTGGATACAACCCTCTCATTGGTGGCCATGAGTAAATAACAAGTCAACTATCTCACAACAAATCATCATGTAATATTATAAAACTGTTGTATGTAGTGGCAAGATGTATAATATAGTAATAGTCTTGCTACTCTAAACCTTGCTTTAAAAGTCGTATGAATAAAACGTCATTCAGTTCATATGTATGGTTGATCATTTAATATTTTGTTGTAAAATATAACACAATATATTGTGATAATATATTTTCATAATGTATATTTCTTCTTTTTCTTGATTATATTGAATATGTTGTTGATGAGGAACATGTGTTTCTTCTTATTTCACAACTTATTATTAAACTATTCCTCAATCACTAATTATATATTGATTTTCACTTCTCAAACTCTTTTAATTTTATTATATTAAGTTAATTTGATAAAATTTGATTTCATAGATTAATTAACTTGACTTTTGAAAAAATGGAAAGCAAGACATATCTTTGGGACGAATTACAAGCTACTTTAAAATGAGAAGGAAAGAGATTAAAAGTGCATCTTCATGATTTTCTAAATTGTGCTGGAATCGTTGGTAAATGAAATTAAACTGATAAATGTCATTTGTCCAAAGACTTTTTACAACTATAATGAAATATAGTTACAGAAAACATATAGTAACATAATAAATCGTTTTCAAAAGAACTATTGATTATTTATCAAAAATATTTATAGATGATAACTGTTATAGCGATAATTAGATTTTCTATATCAATAATAAATTTTCAATGTGTCACTAACACCACACAAAATAATTCCACATGTATAACATAACAAGACCCAATAATTATATTTTTACTATAATCATTGACACCCTTGATAACATGCAATTATGTATCCGCTACTGCAAATGAGACAAACAAGAGAAGGAGTGAGGTGAGTGAGATCCCAGATATATGGTGATTTTTCTACAAACGATACATGCCAAGGCAACAAAGCTAGCATCAAACCTACCTGCCGAGAACCCTCCAACATTCCTACCAAGGTTCCCATCCCCGATGACAGAAAGAAGGAGTGAAGTGAGCAAGATCCCAAATACATGCATGGTGATTTTTCTTAAGCAGTCCACTTGTAGATCAGGTTTTTCATTTGATTTGGAGTTATTTGAGAGATGTTGCCTTGATCTTCTTGGGACCATCAGTATTTGTTTTCACTTAGTACTTTTCTTCAACACATAAGTATTATTTTTTATTTTTTTTTGGTTTCCATTCGGTCTATGGAGTCCACATTAAAGCTTCGATTAAATTCGAATCGCGCTCTGCAGGGCCTATTCGGAGGTGACACTTCCAACATAATTTTCTCCACCCAGGGCTCAAACCCAGTATTATTATTTCTTAGTATTAGTCATATTTTGTGCACTTTGCTTTGATCAAGTCAATTTTTCGAGTGTTGATGACATGACCTTCAAGATATTATCAATTTATCTTTCTTTTTAACTATTATTGCAGACAACATATGTCTTATTTATATAAATTATGAAATCTCATATTTTAATTAAGCTAAGTATTTATAAATGTGTTTTGATGATTTGATAGTACAAAAAGTCTTTACGCTGGAGTATAGTTAACTTTGACTCCTCAAATATTTGTAGCTCGTATTGTTTGAAGTCAACATTTTTCAGTATCGAGACAAAGATTTCCAATTATTACTTGCTTATTAAATATGTGTGTGAAAAAGAAATCTTAGAGGCATAATCCACAACGACTCCCTCAAACTTGTCCAATAAAATTTAATTATCTAATGGAAAAATCGAAACAATCAAAGAAAATTCGATATATTGTCCCAATGTATATAATTATATATACTTTAAATTCTAAATCTGTTATTAATGCCATATCAATAGTAACAAGACTTTTTCATAAGCAACGTAACCCACTTGTAAATCAGGTTATTCATTTTCTTTAAAATTATTCGATAAATTTCTTGGTTCAAACATCTAAATTTTAGCAAGTTCAAAAATAAGTATGGTACATTAAAATAGAAATAGAAATAAATAAAAATCTTAATTTGATTACCTAAAATGTATATGCATGGTTATAAGTATACATAGCTAAAACTTTTTAATTTTTTTTTTAAAAAAGTTTACATAGCTAAAACTCAACAATAATATAGTGTTACGTAAAGCGAAACATAGTCGACAAATACAACAAAAAAAATATAACTTCACTATAGACAAAAAGGGACGCAGAGAAATTAAATTCTCTGATAACTATTTATTATTTAAAGAAACATTACATGATCATGACCATCCATCCATAGTAAGCGAATGGAGATTTATGATACATTTATTTATTCATACTTTCAACAACAAAACTATACTACCTATTAATTAAACACACAATACAAATATATATATGAATAGCACTTGGCTACTCAATATTTATCGTGAATACAATAACTGATACATTAGAAGGGTATTCATAAATATTCCTTATATAGTATGTAATTAATTAATTAGTTGTGAGGCAATCCTCCATACCAACCACCTCTAGGATATCCTCCTCCACCATAACCAACACCAGGATAAAATCCACCATATCCTCCTCTTGGATAACCGCCATAATATCCACCACCACCACCATATCCTCCCCATGGAAATCCGACTCCTCCTATTCCTGGACGAAGTCCTCCAAATCCTGATCTTGGAAGTCTTCCCATTCCTGGAAGTCCTCCGAATCCTGGAAGTCCTCCCATTCCTGGAAGTCCTCCCATTCCTGGAAGTCCTCCTATTCCATCTCCTAAATATCCTTGAAATCCTATTCCTAGAAGTTTGGCGTCATTTGCATGTTCTGCATCAATAATCATACATATTTGTGTTAGTAGGGGTGACAAATAGATTGTTTATATGATGAATTTGTACAAATCAAAATGAATTGGATCAATAAATTAATTAATATTCAAAATTTTAATATAGATTGAGATTGATTAAGTAATTAAGATGATCTAAACATTGAGTCATACTCTTAACGCTTGCCAAATTTTGATTTCTTTGTTTGTTTTCTTATAATTTTTGTAAGTACCAAACAAAACTATTTAAAATGGGTCTTTATTATAGCTTAATACACTCGAAGTTCAAGAATCAAAATACTTAATTTAGGATATGAATTTGAGTATAGACTCTTCCATTTTGTTAAAAATAAAATTTATATATTTGAAAATAACAAAACAAGTACTACAAGTCACCTTAATTAGCTTAAAATTCAAAAGGAGTACTTTGAAAAAATTACTATCAAAGAAAAAATTATCTAACTCTTCAAACAATAAGACCTTTACATAAAATGAAGAGCAACTTACAAAAATGACTATATTTATAGGGTTAATGAAACAGAAATAATATACCGTTATCCAAAGAAGTGGTGGATCGTTGAGCCAACTCCCTAGCTGCAACCTCTGAGGTTATCACAAGAAAAATAGCCAAAACAATAAGCATAAATGCCTTTGATCCCATTTTTTTTCCTTGTTTGAAACTATATTGTAATTAAGATATAACTACTAATTGATTTTGTGATAATTGTAAGAAGGATGAGGAAACTAATGAACATTTTGCCACTATTTATAGAATAATCATAAGCTTCTTAGAGGTTAAGTTTGAACATTGCATTAATTAAGTACCGGGCTAGTAATTAATTAAGTTGGCAAGATTGATAGATTATTGAGACTCGACTTTTCCAAAAAGCACCTACAAAATGATTTCTCTTAAATAATTAACTATATTATAATATTTTTGTTTCAATTTGTTTGTCATATTTTATCATTTAGTTTGTTTAGAACAAAATATATGGTTGATTAAAGAACATTTTAATATATTTTATGTATATTTATTGTTTAAAACCACAAGATTCATGATTTATTATTTTTTTCCTTAAATTCCATGTCACATCAAAATCAAATAAATAAATTAAAAGGGAGAAAGAAACATTCCGATAATCATAGATATTCGTGTTAATAGGGGTGGGCCGGTGGCTAATGGATTGTATATGTTGACTTTGTACGAATTAAAATGAGTTGAATCAATACATAGATTAATATTCAAAATTGTATTTGAATTGAGATGAATTGAGTTACGATGAGCTAAGCACAAAGTCGTACCCTAACTCTTGCCAAATTTTGATTTCTCCATTTGTTTTCTTATAAACTATTCTTAAAAAAAAAAAAAAACTAATCTCGGAGTGCAAGAATCAAAATACTTAATTTAGGATATGAATCTGAATATGGACTCTTAAAAAAAAATTCGTTTCAATTAGTTTGTCTTATTTTTCCTTTTGGTTTGCTTTTTTTTAAAAATAAATGTCTCTTTCGGAAGATTAAAAGACATTTTAACATATTCTACGAATATATAATTTAAGACCACAAGATTTATGAATTTTCTTTATTTTCTTAAATTTTATGCCATATCAAAAATTAATTAATTAATTAATTAAAACGGATAGAGAATTTTTTTTTTCTTTAGCTATGCAAGGTACATGTAGATATGGCTGAGAGTTGATCATAGATCATGCTGTTTGCATTTACTATCTTGATATACTGATATCTTTCTTCAAGATATTCTAACCTACCTAGAGTCTTGAGTTAAGCTATATCTAAAAATGTTAGTATACAATTTTACTAATATGAAATTGAATCAGTGTGATGCGTAGATAATATTAAAGAATATTCAGCATTTAAAGTCATTATAAGACACATACTTTAGTATATTGATTTAACAAAATTTCAATTTTTAATTCGATTGATAATTCTTCATTTTATTTGGTAGTATGAATTTTTGAGCTAATGTTTCATAAGGTTAACAAATATTTATAGAAATTATATTGAGGGCGAGAGTATCTTATTATTAATTTTTTATTTTTTCTACAATTTACCAATTTCCAGCTGCACCAAAATAATAATAACAATAACAATAGCATGGTTTTATAAGTCGGTCTGAAGAGGATAATAATGTATAGTATATACGAAGACCTTATCTCCCGGCTAATTTATGTGTAAGAAAGAGATTACGCGAACTAATCATTAAAGGACTAAACTCGATACACAATTAGTATAATTCTTACAATATATCAAATATTCTCTGAAGGCACGTATAATTTATTTTTAAAAAAAACAATTGAATGGTGCACTGGTTTGACCACTTGTATGAACCCTACACTTAATCTCTTTTTTCGTGTGTTTATATATTTTTTTGTATTTTGATTCTCTTAGAGAAAAATCCACATAGTATCACGCTATATTTAGAGTATATATATCTTTAATTGTTTTAGCCCAAATACTTCATGAACCTCTCCAGGCCCAATTCTTCAGTACTAGAGTTAATAACACCCTCACTATCGTTTAATGTGAATTCGATTCAAGTTGTTCATTTTTTATGATCAAATAATTTATTAAAATTCATGGTATTAGAAATGTAAGAGATTTTAATAAATGCATCAGTATGGAGCGTAATTTTGCAAATAAATAAATAAAATAAAAATTATTTAGTGCATACTATTTTTAATACATCAAATTAAACAATGCACAAGAAATAACTGTTACATAACTATACCAACATTACTAATGCAAGCATTGCCCTATTCAACGTTATTCGTATACATCCTATCAAATGATCCCTAATCCCTCTGAGATTATTTATTATAAAAAGAGACATGGTAACCATCCATCCATCCATCCATAATAAATGAATGGAGATTTATGATATATTTATTCATATTATTTTTTTATCTTTCTATTTGGGCTTCAATATCTGTTCAACTAACTCAGATTTATACCTAGATGTCCTGCTCCTTTAATTCATGGAAGTCCTCCAGATTTAATAGGTGCTCCAATTTCGATAAGTTCTCCACTTCCTAAAAGTCCTTCAGATTCAATAGGTGCTCCAATTTCGATAAGTTCTCCACTTCCTAAAAGTCCTTCAGATTCAATAGGTGCTCCAATTTCGATAAGTTCTCCACTTCCTGAAAGTCTTTCGAATCCAATAGGTGCTCCAATTTCTGAAAGTACTCCTCCTATTGGTGGAAGCGCTACTCCTAGAAATTTGGCATTATTGTTTTCTTCATTTGTTTGTTCTACAAAAGTAATCATACATATGCATGTTAATGTCCACCTCCAATTCTTATAATTTTTGTAATAACAAACCAAACTATAGGAAATAATTCGTTATTAAAGCTATATATAATAATTTTTTAAATAATTTGACTTTTTAAATAGTAACATCTTTACATAAAATACAAGTGAGGGAGCGTACCCTTTTCTAGGGAAGTGATGGAGCTCTGAGCCAACTTCCTAGCTGCAACCTCTGAGTTTATCACAAGAAAAATAGCCAAAACAATTAACAAAAATGCCTTCGATCCCATTTTGAAACTATATAGTTAAATATTAATACTAATTGAATTAATAATATAATTGTAAGAAGGATGAGAAAAACTAATGAAACATTTTGCCTCAATTTATAGCATTAATCATTTGAATTTCGTGTGGGCTAAGATTGAAAATTTGCATTAGTAGAGTACGTATGTACCAGACTAGTTATTAATTAAGTTGGAAAATAATGATTAAATAATTATATATGCCATTTTCCTAATTAGCTGTATATTGCAAAGTATATAATTTCACACAAAACGTCACCCAATTTAGTGAAATTGACAAATAAAACAATTAATGTCATTTTTTTTTATCACTAAAATTACTCAATTTATACGATTTTTATTTTAAAAAAATCTTTTACCGAAAAGATGATTCGAACAAACCCAAAAAGTTAAAATTTTAATTGTATTAAATTTATATGAAAGTAATACACAATATTGTTGTAATTGTATTAAATTTTCAGAAACCAACATCAACATGAACTCTGTGCAGAAAAAATAATTTGGTATGTAACTTTATGGAAAATTTGTACAACTATATACATATTTCATATTGTTATATACATTCTTTTTCTCAAAAATCTACCATAAACTTTATAAGAAATTTTATATCATACCAATTTTATATAGTTTTCGTGCATAAAATTTTGAGCGAAATTTTGTATGAAAAACTCACGTTATATTTGGTAAGCAAAAAATCTCATGCTATATTTCGTAAATAATTTTGTATATATAGAATATTTCTCCATTATATTTTTTAAAATTACAAGTTCATATTATTTTCTATTGCTATTTTTCCGAATTTTTACACATTAATTTATAACCGATGTCGAAAAATATATGAAATCAAATGAATCCGATATCAATATTTTGCGCTGCCCTGTCTATGAAAAAGACATGGAACAAACTCTTATTAGCCTAATTAAACATATGGCATAATAAGATAACTTTCTAAATTTCTATGATAAGACTTTTAGAGCTAATTTTCCACTGATAATATTATCAAAATGTTGGGGCTATTTGGACCACCTTAATGTTGTTCTTTTGACATTAATGAAAATATGAAATACTAAACCTTACCTTTTATAGTTATATTCACTAAAATATCATATTCATCATCGATTAATAGATTGAAAGTTTCAGAAACATTGGACGGTAAATAAAAATATTATTGTTTCTCTGGAGTTGGAGTGTGGAAAAAAAAGAACCAAATAGCAATTTTTTTTAAATAGATGTACCATCAAAAAAATCACTTTTTGTTAGTAATGGTAATGCAAAAGAAGGAAATTGGACTAATTTTTTTTTAATTATTATAATTAATTATTTATCTTTTAGATTTTTGGTGTAGCTTATTAAATGGGGAAATATTTTTTTTGAGGTTTATAATTAGATACAAAGATTTCAGGTCTTTAGCTCTATTATTTACGTTAAATTAATGAGAAATTGTATAAAATAGCAAATTATTAATTCAAATTAAATGCTATAATCACAGTTTGATTTAATTGTAACCCGTAGCAAACAGTTGGCATTCGCCTCTCTCCTCAGATTTCTCGCTTGCCACTCTCCATTTCTCGCTCTCCACTCTCTCCCTCGCCTCTCTCACTTTATACAAACACAAATGTATAAAATGTGTTTGTGTTTGTATAAAGCGAGAGAAAACTGTATATACAAATACAAATACATATATTTTTCATCCTATACACTATATGAACCTGCATAACGAATGCAGCATCTCTAGGCAATGAGACCTCAGTACGAGTGAAATGTACTTATATGTAAGGCAGAAAGTAGAATCATAAATAGTTGATGTAAAAAGGGTAATAGAGATACCACCTGAAACTGAAACTCAAATAACCTTCATGGCCGACATTTGACATCGTAATAGTAAAATATGCATGGTATGCTCGAGTAATCGTATGTCGTGAATATATATATATATATATATATATATATATATATATATATAGATGCACATGCATGACATACCCAACCAAATGCTAGCAATGGTGATGCTTTTCGGTAGCTCGACATCATATCCGCCAACTTGTGGCCATCGGTGTCTCATCCGTATAAATATTGACAATAGGCCCCATAAATATCATTGGCTTATCAAATTATCTATCGAGCCGTGAAAAAGATTCAACAAAAGACAAACAAATCCACTATCCGTTTTACGTCAAGCAATACGTGGAGTAACTCTCGATATAATAGTAAAAGCAAGACGTGTAGGTGGATCGACTCATCAAGTTCCCATTGAAATAGGATCCACTCAAGGAAAAGCACTTGCCATAATCATGTTGCCAATCTTGGCCCGTGGGTACTCTTGTTCTCATAATCCCATAATCACTTTTGTATAACACCTTCCTCCATTTCCACGTGGACAGTGGAGGTTACAACACCCAAACTAAGTTTATTCCATTAAATAAGTATTCAGCTATTGTGTAGATTCGTGATAAAATATATATAATTTTTGAATATATCACAATTAAGAGAAAATTATTTCAAATAAAGTCTACCTCATATAATAGTAGATAGTTTTTTGACATAACTAGACTTACTATTTCTGTTAAAATATTATTAATTGATAAAAAAAAGTCTTATAAATTAAATGCATAAGTCCCTCCCTTATTTTATCCATTTCTTTAATCTTTATGGAGCCAAAGCTTGACTTTACTAAACTAATAAATAAGGCTCGCGCTAGGCGCTTACCTTTTTGGCTGTAGGGTTGGGGTGACTTGCTGGGTGAGACTGATAGAAAGAAAGGACGGGGGGCAACCATGCATGGTACTTCTCGACCCTGTCTCCGAGGGACAGTTGAACTAGCGACTCATCCGCTGATCAGGAAGAGAGAAAGGAAGAGGTTTTTTCTTTAGATAAAGCGGAAGCTCGTTCCTGGCCTCTTTGACAGTAGCTAATCTGAATTCGTAACCCACCTTGGGCAGGAGTCGTCAGATCTTGCCCAGGCAAAGGAGCGATCGACACTTATCGTATCAAAGAATTTTTTTTCCACAAATATTTAACACATTTTATGTATAATTTTTTATTTCAATTAAAATACGATGTTATCAAATAATGTGCGGAGTCATAATAGAATTCTCAAATTAAGGTTCGTAAAACTTTTATACGAAACAAAAGATAACCGTAAACACCCAAGGTGTTACAAGTGACGGGTGGTTTAATGCTAGTACAGTATCCCTAAACCCTACCACGATACAATCCTCAATTTGATTTTCATTTAATGCATTTTATAATTGTATAATTTAAGAAAATCATCTTGATTGATTTTTGTAATTTTTAAAAATAATTTTACTGAAAAATTAAATAATGGAATTGTTCGACTTTTAGTATTGAGATTTTTGAAACTCAAATCTATCAATTTTTATTGAAAATCCACCATTTTCGACTATGGTAGATCTACTTTTGTTTTTAATAGTGTTTATGAGTGGGTGTGCTTCCAGATCAGTTGGCTAACTTTGCAAAATATTTTATCTTCAAATTTTTTATGCTTTTTCATTACCTAAATATGTTAAAGCATCATATCTATCTGGTGAAAAATAATTAATTAGACGAAGGAAGGGTTATTTCATCTTGAAGTCCCTTTCCTCATGTAAGTATATATCATATATGTATATGTAATATATTGATATTGTATAAATAATTATATAATGTATTAATATTGTATAAATAGTTACTTAATATATTGATATTGTATAAATAAATTATATAATGTATCGATATTGTATAAATAATTATGTATAACCATGTATATATGATATATACCCACGTATCGTAAATGTATTTACATTTATATACATTGTTATACAATATTTATACATTGCAGCAGTTTATCTTTCTTACGAGCTATATTATTTTTTTCAATCCCGACAAACACAAATCTCCTCCAAATAGTCTCAAATTTTTTATATGAGCTCCACTTGATTTTTTGATTCTTTTGATATATTATTCACACGAAATGATTCAAATTTGTTGCAAGTCGAATTTCAAAATTTGAACTTGGAAGCCCTTCGGTGATGTATTTCAATGGACATCTAGCTCAAATTTCTTTTGATAAGTCCCAAATTTTAAATATGAACTCCTTTTGATGTATTATTCACTTGAAATGATACACATTTATGACAAGTCAGGATTTAAAAATTTGAGTCATGAAGCTCTTCACTGCGGTTCTCTTTTTTCCATTTTTATGACTCTTTGAAATTACTAGTTTTATGTAATATCTCGTCTTAATCGGAGGTTGGCTAATGATCCGATTATGGCGTTTGTTTTATTATTACTATTAAGAAAAAAAATGATTATGCACTTTATTGGTTGAAGATAGGGGCTGAATGGTCATATTGTGTATAAATGATATGTGAGTCATTTTAGATGAGAAATTTTAATCCAATAGATATTTTATCTAAATGTTTTTGTCTCTTTCTTTGGTAAACTAATGGAAATGTGTGACGTCTATTAGACCATAAAAAACCCATATTTCGATGAAACTTACATGTAGAAATCGTTCAAAAATTCTTTAAACTAATGATGTCAATATATATATATATATATATGGATTTTTCATAAGCAATTCACTTGTAAATCATGTTATTCATTTCCGTTGTAGTTACATGATGATTTTTCTTCATGCAAATGTCTAAATTTTTTGGGGGGCTCAAAACGAATATTAGATATTGAATGAGAAATTAAAAAAAATAGTTTAAGTTAAATTGAATATTATGTAAAACGGAACAAAAACAATAATTAAATACACAGGAAAAAAAATAGCTTCAATTGAATTTTTTTTCGTAACTATTTGGATGAGAAATGAAAATTACTTGTAAACGAAAAGGGACGTATAGAAAGTAAGTTCTCTGATATTATTTCCCTTAAATTTATTTATATTATTATATTAATATAATGCAAAGACACATGATATGAT